AACAAAGATGCCTCTTTAATGGCCATCTCCATCAACACAAACAATGTTTATATTCTATCTGTGCCCCGCTCTGCAAACGAGAAGTTCCAACTAAAAGACATTCTCAAAGAACATTCTTCACTCGTTACAGGTCTTGATTGGTGCCCCACCTCAAACCAGATTGTTTCCTGCTCAGCTGACCGTAACGCCTACGTCTGGAAACATAATCAGGAAGGAAAATGGAAGCCCACCCTTGTAGCACTCCAGGTATTTTTTTATAATTTCCTCTCTTTTATCTTACATTTCTGCAAGAAAGTTTTTGTGTTTCCGACCTATATGGGAACCAATATTGGTTCCTATTGTTTGTTACACTGCAGGTATTTGCCATTTCAGATGAACAGAGCTGCTCTGTGCGTACGCTGGTCGCCTCTTGGAAACAAATTTGCCGTTGGCGCAGGCAGCAAATTAATATCAATCTGCTTTTTCGAGATGGAACAAGATTGGTGGGTGCCAAAGCACATAAAAAAGCAAATAAAGTCTTCTGTCACCTGCCTTGATTGGCATCCCAACAATCTGCTCATTGCATGCGGTTCGACCGACTATCGTGTTCGCGTTTTCTCGGCATTTGTAAAACAAGTGGACAAAGAAGAGGCTGATTCATCATGGGGTGCCAAAAGCCCATTCCAAACCTGTCTCTACGAGTTCTACGGAGGTCACGGTACGTTAATTTCCCATACTGATTCCAGTTATGTTGGCATATTTAAACAAAAAGGGGTATATTTACAAGTTGCATACCCAAATTTATTGGAAGTTAGTACTGTCAAAGCATGCAATGCACAAGTTATCATTTCGATGAATGGTTAATGCATTTTGTGGACGCCCAATTACAGATGGATGCAGTCCATAATATTGAAATCCTCGAAAACTACCAGACATCCGCCACACGTGCGTGAAAAATGAGCGAGAACTGGGCGTGTTTGACTACCACTACATGAAGACCGTCTTTCGACTGAATTGCATTGACCTTATCCCAAATGAACTACTGCACTCGCTGCGACATCACAAAGATTTCCCAGTCCACCCCAGAAAGATAAATAAGATGATTTGAGCGCGTCCTTCGTACTCCCCATGAAGTCGGCGCTGCTACCCCCATCGCGAAACCGTTATCCATCTGGAGAAGCCGCCTATCGTCACGCGTGGAGGGATACAATTCGCGACATCATTGTCCTT